GCCGACATTGATAATCGAGAAACTTTCATCGACCAAGATGTGAAATGGGAAGAGCTCTGTCAGATGCTGCAATTCGAATCTGAAGGAATTCGCAACGTCACCAGCTTCGCTAGATCTTGAAAATGAGTTAACTGAGGACGTCTCGGCGGTTCCAGAATAATCTCTGTCATGGGATGTCCCACTATGAAATGGACATTTCGCTGTTGCTACCGTGCCATCATCGCGATGTTCTTGTTGCTGCTCCGCATGGTTATGATGATGACTTATTTTTTTTTGTGAATCATCGCTTGTCCCCCTTTTGAGCTTTCGCCCCGAGAAAGGACATTTCTCAGGAATTGGAACGTCATGAAAATCAACCTGATGTTCGACGTCGTTTCCTGGTGAGAGCTTCCACTGCTTAGATTCATCAACAGCTGACACCCGCCATGTCGTGAATGCTGCCCCGTCTTGCCCTTGTAAGGAAGTCTGATTCATCTTGACCTCCAAATCGAAATGTTGAATTGCGAGTTCCTCCACAAGCCCCACAACCAACTGTACGAGCCTATTTCCCCTCATTGAGTAGTAATGTAGAAGAATGGACCCATCGAAGTCTTCGCAGTCTTCACACCAGAATATAGGTGCGATAAAACCTTCTCCTGGAAAGCTTCTCTTGATGTACTCATGCATGGCGTTGAGATTGGAAAGCCATTGGCGCAAGGTAGACCCCTGACATTTCAACAGCTCACTGTACCCACTTCTACTGAGCTTTTTGACGAGGAAGTACCGACCGTAGGCTTCCAGAATATCTGGAGACGGGACATTCAGGAGTGATGCAGCTGCATCGACGAGTGCAAACAGTTCTTCATCGTCATAGTAGGCTCTTCGAAGAAAAGCCTGGTCTTTCGTTTTGCATCCTGCGATCTCTTTTATCTTGTGCCAAGCTTCCGTTCCATGCATGTCGACAACAAAGTCTTCAAGGACTTCGAAGATAAGGCCGTACATGATTCAAGATTGTGAATATTGTAAGAACCAAAAAACATGGAATAATAGTGCCCGATTTTACCGTCAAAACGTTCCCTCTCCACAGGGAGAACTACGTATGGATGTACTAGTTTCACATGGTAAGAGCTTATTAAAAGATCACGGATTTTTTGTCAAATTGAGTTTTTCGCAATGATAATTGCAAAATGGCGTTTGACTTTGCAAAATGGCGTTTGACTTTGTTTCGCAACAAGTAAGAGAAGTGGTATAGCAGGCGGTTCGTGAGGCTCTGCAGTGACGCAGAGCAGATGATCCAGTGCCGTTGCGAAAATCTCCAGAGCGGAATGACATATAACATCAGTTTCGCATTCCTGGTCCATCTTCGAATTTTCGGGAACATCGGGATAATTGTAAGCAATCCATAATAATATATATAATCCCGTTGACTTTGTTTCGCGCCCCAGTGAGATTCAATGTGTGGTCTTTCAATATAATACATATTTGAATTCAAGACATTCCAGCTCACTAGGTACCTGGTACACTCTCCAATGCGAACTCACGAAACATGTTCAAGTAACATCAAAAATAGGATATTAATAAAATATCGGGATAATCTTCGCAAGCAATGCACGCAACGCACATGCAAATGATTCTCCTGTTTACCCATTGACCGTATTAAAAAATACTGTACAGTATGTAAGTATTTCGCGAAACAGTGAGAGTGAATGGGTTATGGCCATTCTCAAGAGCAGAAACAGACAAAAATGCGAACTCGCGAAAAATACTCGGATCAAACTCAAACCTGACGCGGTCTTTCAGTTTTCTCAGTTTCCATTGATGAAAGTATTTTCAAGTTGGCTGTATGTGTACGCGCGACGGTCCTTTCAGCAGGTCGTTTGATGCACTTGGATCAATTGACGTGGCAAAGATTATATTATCTCGATGTCTTCAAGTTTTTTTTTTAAAATATAAAAAAGTAAAAAGGATCACTTGACTATTTTAAAAAAATATACACATTGGTCCATCTGGGATATGCCGCATTTTGTCGTGAATCTGATTAGAGATTGGAGGCAGGCCGGCTTGATCACCCTTTCTGCAGGGGGGTTGGTGATTCAACATCTTCCATCGTCATGGAATTCAATCATTGTTTAACA